TAAAAACAAAAAAGAAGAAAAAGAAATCCAATAAAAATGTTTTTAAAGTTGAAGAAGTTTTACCCAAAAACAATGAAGACCTTCAGAATGGAAAAGAATGTAATAACAAACAGTTAACAAACAAAACTAAATTCATGAAAAATACTCAGAATGGATACAAAATTATAAAAAATGTGAAGAAAGCTGAAAATAGTAAAAAAGTTCTTACTCAGAATGATAACTCAGTTTTAAAAAATGTTAAGAAATCTGAAAATAGTAAAATTGATAATTCTCAGAATAAAAATAAAATTGTTAAAAATTCTAAGAAAGCCGAAGACAGTAAAATAGATCAGACTCAAAATAAAAACAAAATTATTAAAAATGTCAAAATGGATGATAAGAGTAAAATAAATTCTTCTCAAAACAATATCAAAACTGTTAAAAAGGGTGAAAAACGAAAAATAGATCATACTCAGAATGGATTGTCTAAAAAACAAAAGTTCTTGGTTAAAAAGTACAAAACTAATAAAGAACCTAGTGCTTTGGAATCAATTACGGATGACCGATTAAAGGCATATGGAATCAATCCAAAAAAATTTAGAAATAAATTAAGATATGGAAACAATCAATAAAACAGTTATTAAATTTAAATTGTTCTTTTTTCTTTAGGTATAACTATTTATAAATTCCAATAATTAGATATAACTAATAAATTATTAAAATCAGTGATTAAATCATGTCCACTGAATTAAAAAAAATAATTACTTCCTAAAGTTGTCTCCATATTCAAATATAAAAATAAAATATAATATTTACTTTTATTTTAAATTAAGTTATTGATGTAAATCAATGTATATTACAATGAGTTTGTAGTCTAATTCTAAAATAACTGTTAATTTTTCACCTTATAAATTATGATATAACATATAAGTGAAATATGTATTTTTGTAAACATTTTGCAAGTTCAAGCATACCTATTTTTATTTTTGTATAATATATCCTCATTTCGAAGCAAATTTAAGTAAATTATTTGGATTTGTTATGTATAATATTGACATTCTATTAAAAATACTKATATCCTACTTTCAATCCAAAATTCTRGACCCAAAGACCTTGACTAACGACCAGGATTATAAAATTTAAGAAAATATAAATTTCTATAATCGTGCTGAAGACCTATACTATAGGTTTATATAGATATATTTTGACATGAGATATACAACAATTAAAAATAYATCTTTAATCGTRATTTGTGATATTTATTCAAATTAGTAGTTATATATTATCTATGACTTAAACCCCTTGCAAGACCACGCTCCAATTTATTAAACAAATAACTTTTAAAATTTAAGCATTAAATATATAAAAAAATTGCATTTATTTTTAAATCAATTTTGCCCCTCTCCCTCTAGAAAAATGTCTGGGTACACCCATGAACCCCTTAAGAATTTAGAAAAATAAATAATACTGTTAGATCACATACTTGAATAATCTATTTGTTGCTCAAAGCACTATTTAATATACATCCGTTGACTTGGGGATAATAACATCACAGGTCTATGCGGTCGGGTAGCCTAATGGTAGTGCGATCGCCCGGCAAGCGAGAGATCTTGGTTAGATTCTCGGTCCGTTTATGTTTGAGTTATTTCTCCTGTATAGCATCATAATATATGAGTGATTTCCTCTCCAGAATTTTTTATCCCTAGTCGATGGGCAACGTWACCTACTATCCTAAATCGTGGCTTAAAGTAATAATATGGTTGTAGACTATACTATAGAGTTTGTTGTTTATATCATGACCTATAAACTTAAATGGACAGCAATTCCCAGTTCCCACACCGCTTTTGGTTCATCAGGTTCACCATGACTACTTAACCATAGATCCGCGATATGACAATAATATAACTGAGATAGAAAAAACCTTGTTTCTAGATTTATGGTTTAGAATTTTGGATAAAGTCCAAACAATTCAAACACTAGATAAATAAGTTAATATGAACATAGACCTTATAGTATAAGCACAGAACAATATATATATAAGGTCTATGAATATGAGTAAAAAGTTACTGTAAATACAGTTATGAAACCAAGAATTGCATATTAGCATCAAGTGCCGATAAGTGTCATATATGACATATACATTTTATTTTTAAGATTTAAGAGCGGTGCGACCAGCCGGCCATGCACGTAGACGTAGCACGTCGTCGAATAGAAAAATTTCTGAATTGAACTTTGAACTACCTATTCAAAAATTAGAAAATAAAAAATAAATTAGAAAGAAAGAGCTTTTAATGCACTTGGCTACACTGTTCGGCTTATGGAGTGGAAAGATTACGCTGTGATAAAAAGAAATTGCCGACTAACGAGACGTAACAATTTTTGTGTTTTGGATTTTGTAGCTTAGTGAATTTAAATTAAATTAAATTAAATTAAATTAAAATTAAATTAAATTTAAACCTAACCTTAGTATTCTTGTCTATGGTGAAGTCGTGAAATAGTTCTATGTTCTCTGGATGACGATTACTAATAATTATTTTTTCACGTATTAAACTGCCAAAGCGTCAAGTTTCCTACTCCAATCGATTTTTTTATGGACGTATATAGTTCTCGTTGATTACGTCAATTTTTTTAAAATTCATATTTTGTTTTGTGTAAGTCCAGAGTTTCTAAAGAGTAAGGATGTCATGGATACCTTTAGAATCCAACCCTGCGGTAAGTAACACTTATGTATATATTAAAGTAAATTTTTTAGAAAATCGTT